TACAGCGATAACGTTTGGAGCAACAAAGACATCAGCTGCTGACTAGTTAAGACTCAACTGACCAAAAGTTGGCGCGTGGAAGAAACTGGTTGCATTGAGAGCTCACCTGCTCACCCCACAAGCTGACTTCCATTTCCACTTGCGACTTGTCGCGGACCTTCAGCACGCGGCGCTTAAGCTCTTCCCCGCTGCTTCTTGCTATGACAGAAGATATTGGCTGCATGCACACACCCAAATCATCCAGAAATTATAAAGTCACGTAGATTCTGGGTCGAAGTATTCCTGAAAAGCAGTTGTTTCAGCAAGTCGTACGCATGCAAGTGGCACCCTCCATAGCCCCTTTTATTGCACTTACAAGGTGCTCATTTCACATACCTGAACTTCAACGACCACGGCCAGCACATCCGTGGGAAATGGGCACTCTCTTGTAGAGTTGAAGATGCTCCGTAGGGGCATTGTACATAAGCTGCACATACAGCCCAAACCTTAAGGCTCTGGCCCACTCTGCCCCACTCACAGTGAACGCCCGAAAGGGCACTGTCCGAAGCCCTATGAAAAACGATGCTCTCTGAATGCATGAATTCCACTGTTGGCTTTTTCGTTCTAAAGGGAAAGTGCATGCCCCACTAATTACCTCCTTTTTGCATGGATTGACCCGTCATCTTCTGCTGGCTTAATGTCTGAATCGGCTGAGAAGGACAGCTCATAGTTGTTGCTAAGCGTCGAGAAGCGCTTGTTAGCTACGTTGACCCTACCGCGAGAAAAACAGTAAACCTGCAGCTCACAGCACAGGCGAACACTCGGGGCTGCACCTCCAGGGCAAGTGCAACATCAAATCAGCACGAAACCCGATATGATTTTGACGACTTCTAAATCCGCAGAGACAGCTGCAATTACTGCCTGACATTTCCTTTTTCAAGAGCTCCATGCCACTTCTCCGCAGCGTCTCCCCAAAACTTTGCTCGGATTAGGTCCCCCTAAAACGCATGAGCCCTTGAGACAATGACAGAGTTATGCGCATCTCGGGCCGGAAAACGCATAAATTCTGCCGGGACTGTGTATCCACTGCTTACCGCGCAGTCTGTGATGTCAACATGGAAAAATCTGCTGTTGTTTTTCGTGGTCTGCAGCGGGCTTTTGTCAACAACTCGAGCCTTGACCTGCCACCGATGTACATAAGGGTTTAGGGAGCTGATGCTCAAGTACCTCCTGAGCGCGAAGAATCAGCAGAAAAACTGAGAGTATCAACCATGGGTAGGAGCAGGGATATTCAGCAGTAATGCTGATAATACTGCTGCATGATAGCCTTGATAGCCTTACTCGCTGGGTCCACTGGAGGAGACAGCCGAGTCTAGCATTTTAGATGTGGGCTGTTGATGTATGGAGTCCCTCCAAATTAGGCTCTTTCTCTTGTGTACGTAAGAATGAGATATATCGGCTTGCGCAGAAACAGCAGCTTCTGGGGGGAAAACTGCCTAGCAAGCAGAAACGAACGGGTGGTGAAATGTACACGCACTCCGGCGGAAACACCGATGTTCCCGTGGTACAGAAGAAGCAAGCTGCCAACCATCAAAAAGACGAATTGATCTTTAATGGAAGAAAGTCAAATATCCTCAGCAGCACACGGAGAGCCGCGGTAGATTCGTGGCCACTACCACGCCACCCAACCACCTCGGCTACAGAAGACAAAGCCTTCTCAGCAACAAGAGAAATATGTTGGCTCTAGCTCTCTCCGTACGAACACTGGCATTAAGACCTTTTTAGTTCATAAATGGGCCACTTCCGTCCTGCTATTTTTGGGAAAACGCTCCTTAGAATGTGGTGCGGGGTAGACATAGGGGGCGATGGTGGGTGGTACTGGCCAATCGAAGGGCAGCATGCCAGACTAGCCCTTCCATCCCATAATAATTCACTGCGATAAACAACGAAATTGAGCGTTTGTGTCTATGAAAAGAATCCTTGAAGGCTTCTTCAACGAAACCTACAGTTTCATTGTGGTAAGGTCTGTGCCAAATCTTACGACAGAGGAATGAGGAATTTGAAGTGACTGGCATAGTTAGTGTGCATGTGATATTATTATGGGGGACTGCGGAAACTTTTTTCAATGCACACGCTGTTGTTGTATGTTCCTTTAAAACTTCAGTATACTCGTGTGCATGCAGAAAACTACTTTATGCCCGTTACACATGTGGAACTACATGCAATTCAAGTTTGTAGATATCCTGCTCGATATCGATGTGCTAAAAGCTTCAAAAATATGCATTGAGCACCTTAGCAAATTACTATCTTAGGTCTATCTAAATTTCATCGGCGCTTACGCTGCGGACACTATGCAGAGAATGGGTATCAGCAAACCGTCAAGGGGGTAAGCAGTGAGCTAGGGAGTTTACACTGGGCGGCTCTACAAAACCGCAGACATTACAATGATCTTAAGGAGTAAAAACTACAGAAACACCTCGTGCAAGCTGCAGGTCTCCAAGCGGTAAATAACTGGTATCCCTAGTCTGCGGATAACACCGCAATGGGTCACGCGGCTGCAACATCGGGGCTCCACAATCTCGCGATGCACCAATTCCCGCCGTCCGAGTTCTCTCCCAACAGGCAGTATTGAGCAAATACTGAAGGCACACTGTTCCTTCTAGATCGACACGCAGGGTTTTCATACCCCTGTCATGCCCACGCTTGGTCAGCAATCTAGTCCGGCTCGAAAACGGGTCGGTATCAATCTTACGTTCGTTCTTGCACGGAAATTTTACCACTTCAGGTCACGAATTTTTCCATGCCGTTTAGATTAAACGCCTTGTTCAGCTGCAGGCGGCAATATTCGGTGCCCCTGCCATTTGATCTTCTGGCCCAACAGCTCATGCTCTGAGGTATCTGGCCCTCCGATTTTGTCTGCTGCTAGCCCTGTAAGTGACTAGGGAGACGTCCTTACCCAAAATCCAGTAGAGTGCATTCGTGGCACAGGTTTTTGTGGCCTGTTCCTCCTACCTTATCGTACTGAAAATAGGCGACAATGCTTCTTACATGCCATGTTTGACGACGGCTTTGTTTATGTGTCTCGGCCAAATTCTGTAAAGAGAGATAGCGAAAGATAAAATAAACAAGGAATCCACTGGAGACTTAAGGAATAGGCATATCGATTCAAGGATCTACAGCGCCTTCAACGGTCCACAGAATTTGAAATGTCACTGCAAGAGCGCGTCCTGGTTCACATTTGCTGTTTGATGCATCAAGAACCTTTGTCGTACGCCTCCTATCTACTCGCCAGGCCTGGAGGTGGGCTAAAGACACAGTTGGACTCTTATGGATATGCTTCGAAAACAGCAGTGCGTTCCACGCCTTCATGTTCTATCAACATGAACATAGAAGCCTTGTGCCCGTAGTTCGATTCATGGAGCACAGCTGACGAATCGATTCCAGAGTCACGATCCCTGCATTCCCATGTCCAGGTAATTTCCGTCTCAGGCATACTGTGGAGAGACTTATTGCCGGAAAATTTTTGACAGGAGCTTGCCACTCCGCCCAGCTCTAAGTAACCAGTTTGCTGCAAATTGCTAAGAATAAACACGATGTAAGGATTCTTGCAAGCATTGAGGATAGAACAAGCCAGTTTCCCACTCATTTGAGGCGGTCTTCCTTCAGGGGAGCAACTGTGGAAGTCGCGCAAGCTCAAAGGATTTTGGGTACAACTAAGAATGGAGATTTCCACTTACTGGATCACTTGCACACAGGACAGAAGCCAGGCTATGCTCTTCCGCATCAGGTTTACGTTCTTCAAATAACACGTAACAAAAGGATGCACTCACCACGGATAACTGAGTATGCTTTCAGAAAGTTATTGTAGAAAGTGATTGCTAGCATCTAGGCGTTTTTGTAGCCTACCTTTCTAATTGAGGACTATTCACATCCTGGTTTTTCATCCAAAATTTTATTTTAAACACAAATACATATGTTAAGAATATCTAGACATTGAAATGAACCATCATATTCCTCCCGCATGTAAAACGCACGCAGGATAGATCCCACGGCATGAGCAAGATAAAGAGCATGAACAAGAAAGTTCATTTAGTGTTTCACAGCCACATCGAAGAGCCACGCGTAGTTCACAAAAGAAACTGACGATACTGCCGAAAAGCTGTGATGAAATAAGGTCACTTTGGGGACTGCGCCGAAGCATCAGGTTCCAAAACATTATATACATTTGAAGCTGTCATAAGATACGATAATTGTCTACATACAAGCTTCCCACTGGGCAGTTCTGGTATTTCAGTGGGCCAGTCCCGTCAGCCCCAAGTCAAGAGGGACCAACAGAGCGCACACCGCACACTAGGGTAATTTCTCGAGCGCAGCCCTGTACTGCGTTTAAAATTATGGGCGTTTAAAATTTAGAAGATAAATATGAATTGGACTACTCGTGAGCGTGATTGTTTGCATTGGTCTGCACCGACTGGGGCTTCTCACAATACTACGTGCTTAACGTGGTACTGCCAAAGGCTCACTTATGCTGGGTGCTGAAGTCCTCAAGCGATTGTTTACTAGCATCCTGAGGTTTATAGGCTAATCAGAGTCCAATTCAAAGGCCTTGTCACTTAGTGGGATACACAGAAATTGCAGCAACAGCTCGTCGCAGTTGCTGCGCTTGCCTATGAGCCATGGCTTTTCTCCTTTTCACTCCCCTTGTGGAGTAGTCTTGCCCCACAACATTATGTAACCCGGAGATCTCGGTTTCCTTCTCCTTTAGCACTAGCCGCCCCACAGAGAGAACGCTGCTGCGTATATATCTAGAGGCAAGATGCTCTTGTCCAGAAGCGCCGCCACAATCCGGAGCTGTGCCTGTGTGCGTCCACGACTTCCCTTTGCTTTAGCTCATTCAAACGTACGACAACCGCCAGAGCTGCAGCAGCAGCAGCATCTGCGAGTGTTCCAAAGCCCTTGGCAACATATCGCTAGGGGGAACAGGGCTGTCGCCTGCAGCGTCCTAGACCAGACTAGGGGGTATGGTCAGAGGCTGTCCTGTGACCCATGTTCCCTGCGACCCGGTACGCATATGGCCCTAAGTGGTTCGTACCGTCATATCACATTTCACCCTCAGAGAAAAGTCGTTGGACATCGCCTCGTAAGTACACGTAGACCCGATGTGGTAATTCCTTCCATGCCACCCATCTCACACTGTTTCATGATCAAGGCACTTCGCATTTCTCTTCTAACTTTTGCAATGCAGCCGCTCAGGACTGTAGCCTGATCAGTCTGATGGGGTCTTCGCCACCTCGTTTCCCCTAGGCGCTCTAAGGCATAAGAAGTGCTGTGTTATTCATCACAGGAAATCATTGCGGGAAAGCACAGAAGGCGCCGGCTTCTGCCACCGAAGGTCCCGCTGCACCCGTCCGCTGCAGCAGCAGCGGTAGCAGCGGAACGCGCAGCTCCCGGTGTGATAACTCCGGCTGCTCCCCAACAAGATCTTACTTTGTTTGAAGCCTATAAAGATCTGCAGCTACGGTGGAAGCGAACAACAAGGTCTGTAAATGCAGCCGTGTATCGTAACGGAGCCATTAATTTTTGTTGCAGACCTTTCGACTAAGTCCCTATCATTCAGTGAGTTTTGGCCTAATGGTTGCTTTCTTGGATCAGGCAGTCTCGTAAAAAATTCAGTATCGCGAGAAAATGGAGACAGCGTTTGGCGTGCCGGCCACAGCCCGAACCTAAGTGGCTCCTTTTCCTCCACCCACAGATGGGCAAAGGGGCCACTGAAGGGCCTCGGGACCAGAAAATCGGCCGACGTCGGGCCGCCGTGCCTCAACAGCCAGATTCAGAACACCCTACACAGACGCATGAGCAGGCAAGAGAACACAGTGGCTTGCAACAAGGAAACCAAATCGAAGACGGCCAAGAGGAAAAAGAGCAACGCCCTGTAGGGCAGCAACAGGTGATAGCTCCAGCAGAAAACCTTGGAGCATTCCAGCGCTTCCAGGGGACTCACAGCGAGCGACCGTCTTTTCGCCTCTCGTACGACCCCAAGGAAATATTCTGTGTCTTCAAGAGCAGCGCTTCCGCGCAGCACAAGGCAAGACATACTGCACAGCTGAACCAGTTGTGGAAGTGCAGCAGTGGTAGGGCGACCAAATCTGGGACCCCACTACTCGAGCATATTCGTTTAATGCATACATTTTCCCAGCAGCGCGTCCGGACAGGCGAACACTGGGCCCAAAACAGATTTTTGAATTTCGTCTGCAGGTGACAGTGGGAGATCTCGTGCAAACTGAGAAACTGCATAGAAAACAGGCCGGTGCGTGAGACGACAATTCTGTCGAAACCCTGTGCACTGAGGCTACTGCCACTGCTAGTTGCATATGTGCGCCCCGCAAGGCTCGCGGCGATGCGATTTGTCGGTGGCTGCAGGCGACAAGGTTGTGTTTGGAACGGTTCTGATCGCCGGTACACGCGAGTGGACTGTACTCGGCAAGCCCACGTACGCAGTTAGCCCCTACCGCTGCATTAAGTATTAATAGGCACTTGCATCCGACAGCGACTCCACACGATTGGGAACCACAGACAGCGTTGAACTCTCGTAGGGCCCTCCAAGAGGGCTGCAAAAATTGCAAGATGCGCGCATTGCAGGCTGTGTTCGGGTTGATGCTAATGAAATTTTTATTCAACAAAATGTCCATGGCGTTGCAGGGTTCCGTTTGTGCGCGTGAAGGGGGTTATCGAGCAACAGGTTTGTCCATGCGTTTTCGCGGTTTTCACACACGGACTCTTTGGCTGCGGGTAACCGACGGCCGAAGACACAGAACTGTTGGGTGTTGGGTTCAGACTCTATGTGGGGAGACCCTAAGTTTCCGGTACAAGAAAACGAGGAGGTCGTCTCGCTTTCTCAGGCAGGCCGAGCCCTACTGGGCGGGAACTGGGGAAATAGGACGAAATCCGTGTTGGGACCAGACAGCGCACAATGGCCACTACTTAAACTTAGTACCGATAATTTGCAGTGGGCAGTCAGCAAGGCTCCGATGATGGTAGCTTCGTGTTTCCAGCAAACGAACCACCTTATGTTGCGTCCTTCGATTAATATCAGGCCTTCTGCAGCAGACGAATGGCAGCATGCAAATTTGCAGAAGAAAGCCCCCTTTTGTGGCAACTGTAGTTACTTTCTCTATGTAGAGTTGTATCTGCGTGATCAGGATTCGCCACTGGGTGACTATGATTAGAATAGAGGAGATCGAAGTCGATGTGCAAATGAAGGTCGGCCCTTGACTTCCCCCACTGCCCCTCTTCTCCCACATATCTACCTAAACTTATGTTGTTACACTGCGGGTCAACAGTCGCCCAGCTCTCAGCCAAAGTGTCTCAGTGCTGGAACGCGGTGGTGAACTAGCTGATTTTACGAAGTGCCTGTGTGTTTGCACTGTGCACCTGCCACTGCCACAGGAAGACCCCCCAATTCAACGTCCCAAACGTTTGTTGGATCTTTGGGCCAACCGCTGGCTCTACCCTGAGGAACTAGAGGGTGCGCAAAATGTCAAATAGACAGAAACAGGCCCTGCAGACGTCGCCGACAGCCGTGACCCTAATTGGTGACAATTCCCAACAAGAAAGCATCATGTGCTGTTGAGTCTTTTCGGTGATGCAGGCATTAGAACTGACGCCAATGGAAGACCTCTAGTAGAGGGTGAGAAAACTTATAAAATTGTTCTTTCATCAACAGCTGTAGCTGCAGAAGCGACAGAACCAGGCCACAGAAGCAGGGGATACGTGCGTGTTTGCGGTGCTGCGTTCAGCTATTTACAATGGCGAAGAGCACCAGCAGGGCACATATCACCGAAGAGGCTTGGCAGCTTGTTACAGGTTTGTTTTTTGTTCCCGCTGGCACTGCCACTGCTACGGTCGCTACTACTGGCAGTGTAGCGGTTACTCATTAGGAATATATCTGGAATGTATCTGTCGTGGACCTTATAAAATTTGCTTACAGGTGGTTGCCCGACCCAAAAGCAACGCACTGGAAACGCTGAACCGCCTCTTTCAAGAAGTTGACTTGAATGTGCAACTCTGAGTTAGCCAGTTTGCGAAACCAGACCGTTAGCAAATAAAAACATGTGAGATATGGCATGAACAACAAAGGCGCGCAGAACAGACAGGTCAAGCGACTGACACATTTCTCTACGTTTGGTCCTGCGCGTGTCTCTGACTGTTTCCCTCTCCTGCTACGCGTCAAGGCCGACGAACGGCTGGAGAAGCTCCATGATAGCCGCAAAGGCTCCAAAGCCTACGCTGCCAACAGCCATTGCCCGGGGGCCTCCTGGAAAAGCGCAGCAAAAAGCGAGCCTCGGTATCTCAGTATGATTCGCTGTACAGTAGGCGACAAATATTTAGTCCCGCCGTTACCAGTTCAATGAAGAAGCTATATTCGCATTATAGAAATAGGGAGACAATGCAGACTAAGTGAAACACCGACTGCCTGTTTAGCAACATCTCAGGCAATAGCAGTATGATTCGCTGTACAGTAGGCGACAAATATTTAGTCCCGCCGTTACCAGTTCAATGAAGAAGCTATATTCGCATTATAGAAATAGGGAGACAATGCAGACTAAGTGAAACACCGACTGCCTGTTTAGCAACATCTCAGGCAATAGCACTTCCAAGGGGAGCGAAAACTGCTAATGTAGACTAAATCCTCTTGGAAAAGTGTCGCAAGAGAGGCAACAGGCATACAAATGCCCGCGGCAAGATGGAGCAAGAAAAACGCGACATATACGCAGGTCATTTAGTGGCTGGAGCCTTCTACATGAGCGAAGCATGGGGGAACCCAAAAACCCAAGGAGTTTCGATATTTGCCTTTGATTGCTAAGATAGCGCCTGTCAAGCAGCCTCCGTAAACGGCTCCCCGAAGGTCGTGCGTTGCTCGTGCCTGGGAGAAAAATATAAGGGGAAGATACAGCCTAGCGAAACCTCATGGAGGAGGAACTAGGGGGAGCACTGCCGCGCACTGCAACGAGAGGACAAACTGAATGGAGGCAAGAGAAAGAATGTGTATTTGCAGGGAATGCATTCAAGCGGGATGAGTATCCTGCGGTAGGGATCTACGGTGGGGGCGACTGCGGCCAACTCAGCAGTATTCCTTCAGATACACGAAGACAAACTCTAAAGACCGCAACCGGTTCTTGTGACTGGGGGGTTAAGGTATACCTCACCCTATCAATGATGCATTCCGAAAAGGAATATAAGCCTCCGATCTTTGCGAAGTTTTTTGCGGTAGACGCCACTTCGGGCACAAATGTTTTGTACTGTTCCCTCAGCTGGGCCCTGAGCCCCAATGTGGTATTCACATCAACGGGCTTCATTGTGAAGAGAAATGCACCCAAGAGAATCCCTGCAACCAAGCTCACAAACGGGATTTGACTTGTGGCCACTAGACGCGCGTCAGGACATGCGGAGGACTGGAGAAGTGGTGTAGCCGTTTCAGAAAGCATTACAACAAAAGCAAGACCAAACGAATAGGAGGTGGAAAGTACGCTGAGAATGCCTAGTCTGCCACGCTGATTTTTTCGTACTTCTCTAGCGTATTAAGCTGGTGCTGTTCAATGGATTTTCCCCGCAAGCTGGACAAGGGTCGAACACAGTTTGATAATGTGAGTAAGTGGGTAACCTACCCACAAGGCCGCCTCCTACTCCCATTGTGGCTGCTCTGACAAGACAACCATCGTTAAAGAAACTCTCAACCGCTCTCTGGGCTCTGAGCTGCTGGATGATCTCTGCGCGTTCCCTGCTGTCCTCTTCCCCCTTCATCTCGAAAAGAGATAAGTTACGGTATTGCGGGGAAAGAAATACAGACATGGGGTGGTTGTACATTGTATTTGACAGGAAGCCGCCGCCAGATGAAGTGGAATTCGTACCAAGGGACCCAAGGTGATCATTGCTCACTCCCGATGTCTCCGGCATCAGCAGTGGCTTCCTTTTCTGTTGGATAAAGCACTCGTTTGTCTACCCACACCTTGGTAGTCAATCTTCTGAAATTAAAGTAGATTAATGTTAGGGCATAGAGGCACCAAGGGCCCTTGGGCCAGACGCAGCAGACTGTGTTCTAACAGGGAAACGGCCCGTATGGCAGTACCATGTTACACTTACGCTGTAAAAAATACTTGCTTAATTTCTATAGAGCGTCACTGCTTTGCATGGCTGAAGACTGCATGCTAGCCCTTCAGAACAGCTGCTGTTCAGTCCGTAGGGGGGCCCCAGGGACTCATCCTGGACGAAGACTTCTGTGGAACCGCAGCTCCATCTATTCGTCAGTACATTATCATGTGAATTCTTTTCTGAGGCGCTATTATGCTCTGCGTAAACTGTGCATAATTGTGCCTGCTGCTGCAAAGTACAGGCAAAGCACAAGCAATTGCAGTATCTACCAGCCATAGCAGGAGAACCAAGAACGACGCAATCGAAAGGTGCGGGAGACCACAGTTAGGAATAAATAGTAACCCAAAGCAATGTGGAGTGTAGTCGGCCCACTAACAAACAACTGAATGTGGCACTTGTCGATGGCCGACAGCACAACAACCACAGCACGAGATGCTGTTCCTGAAGTTGATCACTCCCTTAGCTGGTGGCAGGAGCGGCAGCTGCCTTTCTTGGCAGCTACGGAGAACTCAGGTGTTGTCCTGGTAGTCGGTGGTTCTGACGGCTCGGCTGCGCTTCGCTGCTCCGTTATCCTACCGCTCCTCCTCTTACAGCACGACTGGGCTCCTCAGCGAGTACACCGGCACCAGCCCCAGACACATATATTAGTTGCCCTGGAGACAAGAACTGCAGCAGAATCAGCCGCAGCAGCTGCCAGGGAGTGGGGTGGAGGGCGTTATGCATCAAGTATTAGTACACATAAAAGCACCATCAGCAGCAGTACCCAAAACAGCAGCTCTCCTCCCCGCGTCGTGTATCTTACAACTAGGCAGTTGCTGCAGCGGATTCTACAACAGCCGTTGCTATCGAATTGCTGCGTTGTTGCGCTTGAAGTGTCTTTACAACACGGCTTTAGCACCGAACTACTTCTTCCACTACTGCGCAAAGTGAGACGAAAGAAACCTGCGCTGAGGGTGCTGCTACTGCTACCTCCCGCAGCAGTACAGCCGCAATGGACACTGCAGCTGGCCCAATTTTTCGCTTGCAACGAAGACGCAGCAAGGCCAGATGCTGCAATTATTCCGTACAGCTCGGTAAAAGCCCTTGAGGCTGCAGCGCAACAACAGCAGGATTTCCAGCTGCGCTTCTTCACACCGAAAAGCAGCCGATGGGATGTTAAGCAAAAAGAGCCGAAGGCGAGGCCTCAGCAGCAACAGAAGCGGGAGCCCTCAATATCCAGTTCAGACGCTGGGAAGCAGGCAGCAGCAGAACCCTTTACACAGGCTTCAGGCGATGCCGAGTCTTTGGAATGCAGCAGCAGAAACAGTAGAACAAGAAGCAGCAGCGTTTCGTGCGTCTCGTCAGATGAAGTGGTGGTCTTGGGAGTCACCGCAGGGCAGCCGCGCACCGCTCGTGGGAGACCCGCGAAACGGAAGAAGGCCAAAAGCAAAGACAAGAAGCTGCAACAGCGTTTGCGGAAAATCCAGAAAAAGCTTAAGAAGATGAATAGCAGCAGTAACGGCGCCAAGAGCAGCAGGAGCAGAGCAAATGTCAATATCAGTGGGTTTTCACGGGAACAAGCAGCTTGTATCGAGCGAACAGACACGCAGGCCGACGCAGAGCCGCCTAAGCGATTCCTATATAATACCTCGCACGCGACAGAACCACTTTTCGACAGAAACAGCGACGATGAAGCATCATTAGCAGCAACAGCAAGACCCGCTACAGAGCTGGAAACACAAGGAGGAACAACATCTGCGCCCCCACAAGAAGAGCCACCAAAATCTCGCGAGGGTTTAAGCGGCAGTAGAGCAGAGGGTCCGCTGTTGTATGCCAGCCTTCACGAGGAGTCCTCCATTTCTAAAGGAAATTTTTCTTCAGTTTCAATAATATCTGTCACACCACCAACAAAACGCGTAGCTGTTCGCTATCTTAAGAATGCCACCCCCAACTTCGTTGGAGCTGCTGCTGCTGTAGGTGAGCAGCAGCCGCCTGTACAGCCACATGCTTCTTCTACTACTTTTAATTTCTTTTTCTGTAGTCCTTAATATCTGGCTTTTCGTCCGCTTGTGGTACGGACAACAGTGTGGCCTCTGTTTTCTTCAAGAATCGCAAGCGCAGCAAACCAATGATATATTTTCCTGCGGTTTTACCTACTGTGCATGATTTTTGCTGCAGTCTCATTGCTAGTGACTGCTTCTCCAGAGGCACAAGGAGGGGTTTCGCATTGTGGCTCAATATTTGTGTTCGTACCGTCTCAAGAGGATGTCACTGAACTTGCAGAAAAGCTTCAGCACTGCTTACAGGAGGTATTGAAACAGCAGCAACAGCAACAACCGCATTTGCAGAATCCACCGGTGGAGGTCGTTTGTTTGGCTCCAGGTATGCCCGAATATTCTTTCGAAGCGGATTCTGCATTTGCAGTCGTTCAGTGTGTACTCTTGCGTGGGCCAAGAGTTTTCATTCTTTGCGTCTCCCTCTCCCTTCAGTATTTCGCCCCCCGTTTTATCGTCCACAGGTCTTCTGTGTACTAAAACGGATGTAAGCATATTTTCAATATATTTCAATTTTTGTACTTCGGTGCGTATGTGGGTATTTATGCTTTCCACAGATTTAAGCCCCTCCCTGGCGCCCCCCTCCTCCGCCCTCCGCATTTTCATATCCCCTTCTCTTTTCCCTCCTTGTGTGTCGCCCGCCGTTATGCCCATTAGATTTGTCGTAGACTGCATGTACACTCGAAGATCTGTCTTCGATCCATTTCTTCGTCTGCATCGATTCTGCAATGTTCCCATCAGTGGGGCGCTTGCTGACCTGCGGGCATCCTTGGCAGGACGATATGCGGACGGAGGCTGCTGTTACCGGCTCTGCACTGCGAGTGCATTCGCAGCTACTTGTGCGCGAGGTGCTGCCGCATTTGCTGCTGCCGCTGCAACTATCCACAGGGAGGCCTATGGAGAGTTACCAGCGTCGGCCCTGGAAGACATTGCTCCGCTGCTACTACAGCTCAAGGCGCTGGGTGTACATTCTCTGCACCGGCTGCCGTTGTTGCAGCCACCACCCGCTGCTGCTGTTGCTGCTGCTGCTGAACACCTACTGCAGCTTCAGGCGGTAGATGACGGGGGCCGTATAACTAAGCCACTCGGATGCATGATTGCACAGGGCTTACTTTCCCCGGAGCTCACTCGCCTTCTCGTTATCTCTACAGAGCAGGTGTGGCTCTGCCCTGTGGGTGTATGCACAGCTAGGCCCTTCAGCAACAGTGCAAGCAGAGGCCTGGCGTAACAAGCCAGCATCACCACTTCCTACGGTTGTTTTTTTCAGGCGTTTGGATGTTCCGTAGAAGCTGCAGCGGTCTGTGCTCTTCTCGGCGGGCCTCCTGTGTGGCAGCGCCCTGCTTTAGAGAATTGTGGCATGTCTCTAAAGGATCCTTTGGTTGGACAAAACCGTCGGAATGCATCTGCAGCACGGCAGCGGCTTGCGCTGTCTCGCGCGTTGCTTGGAAGTATCGAGGGAGACGCAGTGACAGCCTTGAATGTCTTTAACCAGTACTATGATATAGAAAGCGAACAGGGAGCTGAAGAAGCCTCCAGATGGGCGGAGAAGCACCTTGTTGATGAGCAAGTGATGTGGCGTGCATCAAAGATGCGGAGGGTGATCCTGAATTGGATGCAAAAATCTGGGCTGCCCTTAGTGAGTAACCTGCCGTTCAATTGAAGCGGCCCATTCTTGTTCCAGTAGTCAGACAAGCTAGAGAATGCAGAATCATAGGCGCTACGTGGTGAGTCAGGGCACCACCAGTTGAAGCTGAAACTGCTTCCATGGAAGGTATGCGTAGTGCGGTGTAGCACGCTTGTTCAGTTGCACGGTGGTGTGTGGTGAATGCAGGTGACTTGCAAAGGGGACTGCAAGCCGCTCCTTCGTGCACTGGCGGCAGCATTTTGCCTAAATGTGGCAAAGAAAACACACGACCAGATATACAGGCTGTTCAGACTGTAAGGTTATACATAGTTTATGTACAACTTGGACTTGACTATCCGCGCTCTTACCCTTCTCTAACAATCTTACCGAACAATCGCATGGCGCGCAGGTCCTCAAGATGTGTGCCCATAATGAAACGTCCACGCTGGCGAGGTGCATAGAGCGCATGAGACGTGTAAGCATGCACAACGCCCAGCGCTCTGTGCGTGCGGCACTCTTCAGCCCTGGGTCAGCAAGCTCGCCTCCGTTCGTCATACACCCCTCCTCTGTGCTATCAAACTGCGCGCCTCCATTTGTTGTATATGGGCAGGTGAGCCTCACAAGGTTTCCGTAGAAAGATATTTCCTTATTGCAAATTCATATGTAGGTAAACGGTGTTTCCGTGACGCAGCTAATCCTCCTTCTCCTGCGAGTCGGTTCCTTAGGCTTTCGTGCGGGATGGCTGCGTTTACATGCAGCAAGTAACAGCAATCGATCCACAGTGAGCCTTGCGACACTTTTCTCAACTATACATTTGAGTAGTAGTTTCTTGTGTGCGTAGCTTCGCCTGTTGTGGGTTTCCGGGGCGATCTAGTGCCTGGGTACTCATAAACGTAGCTTCGAATTTCTTCGTGAAAGGTTTGTCATTTTGTGTCTTGGACGTTGCAGATGGCTGCCTGAAGTTGCTCCTCATCTTTTCACGATGAACTCCGCAGAATTCCACACATAGTCATATCAGAGAACAGTAACATCTTTGCAGTGTTTGTGGATTTATTTCCGCACGAGCAAACTCGTATTTCGGCCGGGTTCACGCTTTCCCCATAAAGTTCTCGTGCTGGGCCATGTCTCGTACAACTGAGAAGGAAATTACCGTTATTAAACTTTCTTAGTACCTTGCATCTGACCTTTAAAAGTCTACTGAATGCGATTTCCGTAGACACATCGGAGGGTGGAAGGAAGCAAGACGCCCATTACTTGCGGCTATTCGTGAGTATATGTAGCTTAGATACACTGAATGTCCAACTAGCAGGAACTCGCCGAGTCAAAATGCACGACTGAAATATTGATTTGAGTTGTCACTGAGGGGCAAGCTAGCTGCCACGTGGTCAAGTGAAGCAATGCCTGTGAAGGACTACATGTGATTTAAGCATTGCTGTGATTCACAGCCGGAGGTTGTCACTTGGGAATTATTAGATTGTTGTGCTGCATATACCGGTGTCTGCTTGCCGCGTACCCTTGGCCAGCAGAGTTTTTCGAGGATACAACGGCCCCTGAGTAGCACATTGCATTTACAACAGAGCCTCAGGAAACGATCGCGAGAACACAGAATAAAGATGAATGATCAACCCTAAGTTTGCAAATGTGCTTACAGGCTTCGACAAGAGTGGCTGGATGGACATGGTTGCCTGTTGGCAGGGGTTTCAGCACATCGAGCATGGCGATGTGACTGTGCGCACACATCGCTGCTATCTGTGACAGGGCACTCTAAGGCTTCAGCATGCCTTTAAGGACATATTAATGTTAACATTATTCAAGCAACTCAAAGTAGTTTAGTAGATTACGCGGTGAAGAGCCCGTGCGCTGCACGAAACTGTACCTTGCGTACACGAGTCTCTACAGAGTTGATCTAGAGTCGGCAGCAGACTCCGCAGTGGAAGAGCTCACTGCAAGTGGTCACTGTAAGCTAATATTACCGTAAATAGAATATTAAAGAAGTAGAAGTTTTTCAGTTTGGTGTAGGCTATTATGCTGCTGGTCCGCTGAGCCCACAAATTTTTCAAGAGACATTTTCTCCAGTTGCTAGCGATGGTTCTGTCAGAGACCACCGATTCCCTTCAGCTCGCTGCATTATTTTGCAGGAGCTCTTACATAATCAGAGTCAATAAATTCGGCTAAATTCGAATTGTTTATGTCCTGCTTTTGATATCTACTTTTGAACTTGTCTCAAGTTGCTGGGGGAAGCGCTCAAAGGCTGAGGTGACCACCAAGCCGTAAATAGAAGACAACAGCGGTCAAACAGCTGTCACCGGAAGCTGTCATCAGGGCTTCTTGGATAATTCTATGTACGAATGAGTGCTGGGCTTGCGTATATCTCTGGAGTTTATCGTCTTTCTGCATTTCACCGCTGAAGTTACGATGGACTCTGCAGATGGCGTTGCATGGCAAGTGTTCCCCAGAATAGCCTATGAGCTTACAACAGGAATACGGTGCTCCGAGCTACCATGTAAGGTAAATCTTTATGCGCTTGTCCCGGAGGAGGTACGACTAGGGACCACTGGACCGATGAGTTCTTTCCTAGAAGACGAGAGCTATTCATTGTGGAGGTGGTTTTATAACTGCGCCGCCAAAAATATTCTGATCCGCAGAAAAGAGAAACCTCTGTCGCTCAGAATTTGCCCTTCCCCTACATCCTCAACAGAAATCCCCAAGTACTCAGGAATGGCAACGTGTTGCTCGATGCACCACATAAACCACGTACAGGGGTCACTGGAACTTACTCAGAACACATGTGAGATTGAGCTTGAGGCGTCATATGCCTTCCGGGAGTGGCTTGTTCGAGAGACAGGCCATTCAAACTTTCAAGCAGACTGCCTTGAGCGAGAGGCAAAAGTTGCCGACAAGTATATACAAGCGATTCAAGAAAGACTCAAGAAAGTAAAGATGGCTCGATCCGTTTACAACATGGACCGACAGGATTTCTCTGCGTTTATCCCTGAAGATGCTATCGCGTCTAGTGTTATAACCCGCGTGGAAAGTGAACTGCAGGCGTTGGACATTCAGGAACTGCTGACGCCTTATCCCGTTACGCCACCTCTCACAACGGAAGGTGCAGAACCTCAAGCAAAAGAACAAGCAGCAAGCCGGCCCCCACACAGTGAGCGCGAGCTGGAAAAAGTGCACCCCGAAAGAATCGAATTTTTAACTTTCATATTTGAGTCATGTCTGTTCGCGGCGAACCGCGAAGCTTGCAAACTTGATAGTAACAATGTGCAAAAGGAGGGGATTCCAAGTTGGCACACACCCGCCATTCGTCGCCCTGAAGCGGTTGACAAACCACGACACAACTTGTCTCTGTTCCTCAGTTTCTGTGGACTTGTCCACCCTCTGCAAAAGGGCACGGTAATGCCAGACTGCCTCAAAAGAAGAGAAGTGCGTCGAAGCCGTCAAGCACCTAGAGAGAAGAGAGAAACTGAAGCGAGAGACGAGCTACGGAAAGCTAGAGCACAGGAAAAATCGAAGATAAAAGAACCCTCCAGCGTCTCCCCCAAAGTGGAAAATTAGCTAACAAGTACTCCAAGGAATGTAGAGGTTTTAAGATAGAACACAACCGCCGCCATCAGCCCCCATAGGGAGGATTGCCTTGAGGAGCAAAGGAAACCACTCCTGAGATAACTGGGCAGCAGCAGCACACCCAAAGACGGAGGGAATTTTTTTGCTCACTGATGCAGTGCACTTGAAGGCGTTCTACACTGCTCGACTGAGTCGAGGCCATCGTGGTCCGAATTTCTCCGTCTCTTTTGTAGCACATGCAACTTTTAACGTTTCCGAATAAATTACATAAAATTCCAAACTAAATGGGAAATGCAGCATGTGAAGCTGACTAGTCGTAGTTTTGCGGGATTGATGCAAAGCAGCAAGTTACTATCTATTTCCAACTTGAGATTACAACACTGCTAGAGAAATCGAAATGAGAAAACCGTCAGTGTTATGTCACGACCAAAGCTACGCCGTAGCACCAAGTGAAGGCGACCGCCTTTTAAGCATATACCATACAGCAGCGTAGTCTGTACAAGCCACCTTTCACGCAGAATGTAAATGCTGCAGCAGCGTACGGTTCTCGCGCACGGAGCCTCCCTAGGAAGCTGATCTGCTGATTTCAGCTTCCACTGTGCAAAGACCAGATTAGGGACGTACTGGCACTATTATCCACTTCCAAATGACTCGTTGGTATCTAAATACAACTTTCGAATGCGTGCAGACAGGCAGAACGGGCAGAAGTATGCGCTGTTTGTCACGCAACGCTCGAGGAATCTGAGCTACTGCGCATGATAACTCCAGCTTGTGTGGCTGGCGTGACTTCAATCTGCAGAGATAAACACAAAAGTACTTACAGCATTGGCCTATCAGGACCTGCGAGCTATAAGGGCCGTCTACACCATTACCTAAATCTGCAACCCCTGGCGCCTAAACGGCATTACTGGTACTACGGTACCATCTGCCCGTCTGAATCGAGCTCCAAGTGTTTCTGCTGGACAGTGACCCAGTCTACCTTGTATCGGACACGTCGAGAAGAAATCAATCCCCATGAATTGTCAAATGAGAGGATTAAGGTGCCCTCCTGTTCCGCCGTGACGACACCACTGACTCGCCTATGGCGCACAAGCCTTGAATGAAAATGCAATTGAGTAGAAGCTGGTGTCTTGCATTCCTTGTATGTTTTCTATCAAACTCACGCGTTCACCATGCACAACACCTATATGCATCATACAGGGCTGGTGATGAAGCTCGGTATACAGGCTCACTTGCGAGCAGGGTACTTGCGATGCTCCTCGAGAATGCTCTCGCTCCCTGACTGTACGGCGCAGACTCACAAAATCTGAGCTACTGTAATTCAGCATGCAGGTTCAGGCCAGTTGGTTGCCAGCAGTGCACGTATCGCTTATCTATTGACTCACCTGAGACCTCCAAATTGCGCTGAATCCCACATCAAAGTCTTCAGCAACCCATACCCACTCAACTACAGATTTTTGGGGCACCTGCAACAACCATGAGGCGCAGCAAAAATATTAAATAATTCCTCTTCCCGGTGTTACGGATTGCAAATGGGGAGACGTATCATGCAATCCGTGTCCTGCACGCCCTGGCATTATGGTTTGCTGCCATCAAACATTGACTTTGTCCCGAGTAAAACTTCCGTATGTTGAACGCACAAGCTCCACAGCTTGGTTACATCGCCTTGCCCCCACGTTCAGTATCATGCTTCCTGGACCTAAATCTGTGTCTCTGCAGCAGCAGGACATAACAACGGTCACAATAAGTCTCTGTGTGTGCCAATAGATTCACGACCCATGAATAATGGCGTGTGCTTGTGGATAATGACAAAGACGGATTCTCAATTTTGGATTCTTGATTTCGCACGTCCATCTAAGAGAGACCCAGGAGGGCATATGGCCTTACAGTGGAGGAAAGTCAGCCATTGCAGAGGTGCAAGTGCCACCCAAAGAGGGGGGAAGAGCATAACCTCCAACGTTCCGAACCAAGATATTTTCCGCATCGCTGCCTATAGGCAACACACAACAACACAGCTGCATTCTAGGCAGCTGCAATATAACACTTTGGAAGCAGTGATATCCATTCCAAGGAAGCCTAGCAGTCCGGGCTGTGACTGACTCAAGAGTTTGATCTTGTTGATGGTTCTCTCTCTTAGCCACCCGCGAATAGCCGACCAAAGAGTTGAAAAGGTCCGTGGTGCATTGATGAAATACATAGTACCGATGGATTCCGGGTAATTCTCACTCGCCGAGCTAATTGTCTTTCTAAGCAAACTGAAGAAACCAACAAAAATGGCGGGATTTGTTATCATATGTCCCCATAGAGAAAAATAAAAATGTAAATTTACGTTTTACCACAAGCTACGTCCAGGCGGAGCCTGCTGCAACGCTATTATCAAGCCTCGCACTTCAGAGCTCGCCGATTCAAAATCCGGGTGGAGAGCCCCTGCAAATCGAT